AAACGCATATACATCATCGACTGTGGTGTTTCTCTTGTTGTTGTTGTTGTTTTATCTCTCTCGCTCTTGTCCCACCCCACCCTCGCCACCACCACCATCACGTGGGCCGCAGCATCAGAGGGAGTTGAGGCACGTAGCGCAGCACAGCACGCGCATAGGCACGCATACATACACACTATATAAATACACACACACACACACACACACACATCTTGCTGGATGAACACGTTTCAAATGAGCCAGTCACGCGCCGGCGGCGGCGGCGGCGGCAAGTCCTCCAAGGGCAAGAGCTTCTCTTCCAAGGGCAAGATCGAGAAGTACCATCAGGACGGCACGGAGACGATTATTGTGATGGGTCGACCTTTCCGTGTGCTGCAAAAGCTCGGTGGTGGGGAGCCGCAGGCCGCGAACTACAAGGACCGCGGCCGCAGGAACGCCAGGGAAGTTCGCTCCTATGTCTTCCTGGTGGAAAACACAGAGAACCTGTCGGAGTTCCCGCGGCATTTTGCGTTGAAGCGGTCCTTCTTCAACGTAAACGAGGTGTTGCTGGCGCACCGGGAGCCGGAGGTGGTGGGGCGGGTGAAGGACAAGAACATCGTGCGGGTGTTTCACACGGAGGTCACCCGCAGTGAAGGGAAGCTGGGCGTCACCGTCGCCATGGAGTACTGCAGCAACGACTTTTACCGCCGGCTTCGCCCAGACACGCGGGTGGCGGAGGGGGAGATTGTGCAGGTCCTTTTGGCCGTCACCAGCGCCGTGGGGTACCTGCACTCGCGGCAGCCGCCCATCGCCCACCGCGACATCACCCCGGAGCACATTTTGATCCACTCCGGCTCAACCGGGGCCGCCTCCTACCGCCTGTGCAACTTTAGTAGCGCGATAATGGAGGCGTACCACTGCGCCAACCGTGAGGAGGTGGCGATGGCGGTGGAGGATATTGAGCGCAACACGTCGCCGGGCTTTCGCGCGCCCGAGATGGCGGACCCGGGGAGCGGGAAACGCATCGACGAGCGCGTGGACCTGTGGTCTATTGGGGTGCTGCTCTACTACATGATGTACCTGCGCCTGCCATTTGGGGAGACGAACATGGGGTTGACGGGCCGCCTCAGGCTGCGGTTTCCCGCGGGGACGGAGATGTGGTACTCCGGCTCCCTGCGCATAGCCCTGATGCACCTGCTGGAGCCGGACCCGGACAAGCGATGGGACATCTTTGCCCTCACCAACTTCCTGCGCTTCGACGAGGACATAAGCAAACACATTGGCAACTTTTTTTTCACCGTGACGGAGTGGCCCGACGGGTGGGAGCAGCAGGACGTCAAGGTGGTGAACCGCGTGCCCCCGCCCAAGGCGCCGCCCGTGCGCGTGAGTGGCGCACCGCCCGCCGAGGAGGCCACCCGTAACGCAGGTGCGGGGGGGGCAACTCCAGTGCAGGCCACCGCGGAGAGGGAGCCCGGCTCCCCGCTAGGCGGTGCGGAGGAGGAGTTGGACCCGGTGGCGCTCGCGGCACTAGGCATCGACGTCGACAACGATGACCCCGAGATGCGGCAGTACTACAAAATGCTCATCCAAGAGCAAAAGGAGGCCTGGAGCGCGGCCAAGGCCGCCAGCGCAAGGAAGGCCAGGGACGCGGCGGCCGCGAGGCATAGCCAATCTCAAGAAACGCGTGGGGAGAGCCACAATGGAGCGGGGGCAGAACAGCCGCAGTCGCAGTCGCAGCCGCAAAAGGAGGAGCCACGGAAAGACGATAAAAAGGACCTCTTTGAAGACTTGTTCGCCCCGGCTCCGGCGCCCCAGCCGGCGTCCTATAGTGTCCCTGCCGCGTCCTCTCAGCCACCACTGCCGCCAAACTTGGTGAGTGAGGAAAAGAGTTGGCAGGATACACTCTTCGGTGGCGCGCCGGCGTCGCCGCCGCCGCCGCCACAGACGCAAAACGCTTTTGGTACGATGGACAATGGCTGGGGTTCTGGGGCGCCGACGATGGCCCCGGCTGCGGGGTACGGCATTGACGGAGCGTACATTGGACCGCAGTTTGCAACGGCGCAGCAACCGCAGCCGCAGCCGCAGCCGCAGCCGCAGCCGCAACTTCAATACCAGACCCAGCAGTCTTCCTCCCCATGGGGGGGCGTCCCGCCCTCTGGGACGCAGGCACCGCCGATGCAGCAGCAACAGCCCGTTGGTCAGCAGGCCCCGATGGACTTTGCCACTGGAAGTTTTCCACCCTCCGCTCCGGTTGAGCCGAAGCCGAAGAAAAAGAAGGATCCCTTTGAGGATCTCTTCTATTAGAAGTCTGTGCTAGGGGCAGCTTTTCTCCAGTGGGAAAAAGAAACGTGATTTTTTTGGCCTTGTTGTTTATGTTTCTTTTTTTTCTTTTTTTGAAGAGGCGTGGCGTCGTATGTCGCCCCCATCCCCATCCCGTGAAGTAGCGAGAAGTTGCCCCTTCTTGTCGTCGTTTTTTTTTATTTCTTCTTTATGTGTTTTCTGCCTTTCTGCCTCCGGTTCGGCACTCCACAGGTGGACGCTTTGCTCGCGTTGATGATGATGGGGACGGAGAGAAGATGGGGAGGCAAAGGGACGTCGGAGACAAAAGGAAGCAAAAAAAAAAAAGTTTGATGGGGCGATGTGCCATCGTTGACGCCGCGTCGCGTGGGTCTGGCGGGCTGCAACCGCACACACGCGATTAGTGAAAGAAAAGGGGGGACGGTGTAGGGCTGACGGGAGGGGGCGGCGGCGGCGGCGGCGGCGGCGCGTGCGAGAGTGGAGAGAGGTAAACGCGAGGTGGCGAATGAACCTGAGCAAGTGGGCGTTGAAGGGGGCCGTGCGGTTGCGCCGCGGCCTCATTGTTGGGGCTAGTCGCCTGCCTTGGCTTCCCCGCGCGCCGCCGCCGCCGCCGCCGCCCCATCTTCCCTCGTTGGGCCCACTCCCTGCTCTCACCCCTCGCCCCGGTGTAGG